AAATTTTACAGAAGAAATGGCAGAGGAAAGCTCCACCCTGGCTTTTTTTTTTAAATTTTAAATGGGCGTGGCGTCGCCCACTTATGGACCAAAAACCATATCTAAGGAGCTTCTCAACCGATTTCAATGAAATTCGGTATATAATATTTTCTTAACACCCTGATGACATGCACGAAATATGGGTGAAATCGGTTAACAACCATATAACCCTATATATATATACATACCCTATATATATATACAAACAACCGTTATGTGAACAAAACTATAATACTCTCTTCAGCAACTTTGTTGCGAGTGTATAAAAAGAATAATTGTAAAACAAAATCAATTTCAACCTCACAGTGAAAAGTATCCACTGGCAATACTTATAACTTTATAGCCATTAACAGTTATTTCCCTCATGAAATAACAAGCAAAATATTGGATCTCTACGCATAAGTTTGTCCATTTGGAGTGCACTTTTGAGGAATTAAAATCATGGGACGCCACATAACGATTGTCGAAAGAAAATTAGTCATTCATCATGCTGAACTAGGAAAATCGCAACGGAAAATTGCAGAAATACTCAATATTACTAGATCTGCTGTCCAAAAAATTATATTGAGGCACAAAACGTAGAACGTATCTGCAACAAGCCGAAAACCAGCAAGAAACCAATTTTTACTGAAAGAGACGAAAAGTGGTTGCTTCGACAGGTGGCCGATAATCCGAAGCTTAGTGCACCTAAACTTGCTGAAATCGCGGAGAAATATCTAAACAAAAAGTGTAACCCAGAAACCATTCGGAGAATCTTGCGTAAGAATGGTCTTCATGGTAGAGTTGCACTAAAAAAGCCATTCGTCAATCCCAAAAACCGCCAAATTCGATTGGAGTTCGTTCAGGAACATGAAAAAAAAAGAATTTTTAATTCGGGAAGTCAGCTATTTTTGCCGATGAAAGCAAGCTTAACATGTTTGGGTCGGATGGACCAAGTAAGATATGGCGTAGGGCGAAAAGGGCCTTGGATCCTAAACACACAATTCCAACCGTAAAACACGGAGGAGGCTCTGTAATGGTATGGGGTTGTATGAGTGCTGCCGGCGTAGGAAATCTAGTTTTTATCGAAGGAATCATGGATAAGATGTATTATTTAAACATTCTGAAAGATAATTTGTAGAGTAGTGCCGAAAAATTGGGGTTGGGGGCAATATTCCAATTTTATCAAGATAATGACCCCAAACACAAATCCCACATTGTTCGAGAATGGATGTTTTATAACTGTCCAAAAGTGATTCAAACACCTCCCCAATCCCCGGATTTGAATCCTATTGAAAATTTATTGAGTATTTTGGAGAAAAATATTAATAATCATAACATCTTAAGCATACTAACTCTGAAAAAAGCTTTGCAAGAAAAATGGGAAAAAATTCAATCTTCTTACACTGAAAATTTGGTTAAATCTATTATAAAAAGGCTCACAGCAGTAAAGGACAATAAAGGATATCATACCAAGTATTAACCACCTACGAAAATCTTATTTTCAATAAAACTTTTATCGTTCATACTTTTCACTGTGAGGTATAAATTGTTTTTGTTTTACAATTATTATTTTTTTATTTTGAATTTACATAAACATCGTTAATTTTATTTTATTAATTTTAAGTTAAGATGTTAATGTTCAAATATAAAAAACAATAAAATTTAATTTAATAATTAACTATCAACAATCATATTTTCAATACAAAAACCCAAGTGGATACTTTTGACTGTGACTCACTGTCTGTATGTATGTAAAAAAATCGTCCCAAGTGAATGGCGATCAGAGAACTTTCCTCACTTGCGTGAACTTCTACACATGACTCCATCCGCTCAGTTCTATTTCACTATTCCCAATATTTAACAATTTTATTATTTTTTAGGAAAGATCAGTTTGAAATATTATATATATATTTCATCGTTACTGTTTAAATATTGCACTGCTCTGTGCAATGCTTCCAAAAGATTTTTGTATATCTCAAATTGTAGTAAACCTTTTTATCAACACTTCAGTTATGCCGCTATATTTTTATTCTAGATATCGCGTTCGGTTTGTTATGAATGCATTTGCATCCTTCGCTCATAATCTAACAAAGTATCCGCAAAGCCTTGACAACGTTTGTTATGCACTCTTTTTCTCTCCAATAGTTAGCAGGTATGAAAAGAATGTAATGGCTACCCATAGATGTACTGAATCACCCAATTTATTACTTAAGAACGAACAACTGTCCACATTATGAAAACTTGCTATTGGTCTACAAATGTCGCCTTTTAAGGTTTGAATACTGGATACTGCGATGGTAGCGCAATCTATCGGATCCAATGTAAAACATTCCAAAATTACCAATTGATTACAAATGAAAAATTTGTTTCAAAATACATTTTCCAGTGGATCAAATTGTGAATCTAAACAATTTTCGAATCTCCTTAAACACACAAAAAAAATTTCATCAAAATCGGTCCAGCCGTTTAGGAGCAGTTTATTTACAAACACACGGTCAGAAGATTTATATATATATAAATATGCATATACTCTTGTATAAACAGTCGTTGGCATACAGATGCAAAATTTCCGCCGGTGGGGTTCTCTCCATTCTGCGAGAACTATTCAGCTACTAACTAATTATTTAATGAAACTGGTAAGAGTCAATGATATGGCGTTGAGTTACTCGGAAATAAGTGGATAACAAAGTGGAAAAAGAATAAACTGCAGTTAGTGTCTAATATCTTTCATATAACCAATTTTAATAAGGAGCCGAAAGCAGTACTTTTTAAGAAAGGATTTCTTTCGCAGAGGCCAAGGCCCTTAAGATCGATACTGTTAAAATACATGGATTACTAACTTTGCCGGAGGCCTCACTCGTCTTGAAAACCTTGAATAAATATCAGAGGTTATTATTATATCTAAATCCGCAGTATACATGCAATTACTATGCCGCGATGATCGTCTTCGTGGCGGTACTCTTAACCCAAATTTCGTCCAATTAACGCTTTTGATGATGTTAAGTTAGATTTATTTGTTAGATACAAATATTATATTTCTAACTAACCGTTATATTCTTTCAACAGAACCTCGTTTCTCTTTGCACCATTCACCTCGCCATCAGTATACGGTCAGAGAGCGCCCTTAAATGATGCCCGAAATTGACCGTGACGCTGTTGCTGAAATAGTAAGCGGAGCGCATGCGCCTCTATTCAGCACCGCCGCACTACTCGCCAAGGAACAGCAAAAGTACAAGTCACACGCCCGCCTACAGGCAACACTAGCCGAGCAGGAGCACTTAAATATGGCCGCCGCCAGTTCGTATGTGTACCAGAGTCCATTGACCATTCCACCACATGGTCTGCCGCAATATAATAATTTCAACATGAATAATAATCAAATTGGCACATTAAATCACAATATGGCAGCGCAGCATTTAGCGTCGAACCACGCTTGCATAAGCCCCAGCAACAAAGAAAAGCTTTCAAATTTGCTAAAGGTGCTTGAACCCGAGCAACGCATTACTGGAAATTTTCTACAGAAGACGCTTGAAGCGGCACCACGCTCCTTACCTGGCAATTGTTCCACGAATGGCGGTAGTAATATGGCCTATTTGGAAACAGCATGTTTGTCGGCACCTCCCCTCCAGACACCGCTGTCCCCGCCACCACCACCGCCGCCACGCGCTAAAACACCACATCCCCGACGTTTGGAACCAACTGCCGTACCGTCATTAAAACCCTCCAAAACTCATAATGATCTCGAAATTAAAGCTAGCGATAATGTCACAGAAAGTTGGCACCCACATGTTTATGCGCGTCCACCAATGCGGCCAACACCACATGCTATAGCTGATATCCTCGGTTGGCGGGCACTTGCCTCGCCGAATCAGCAGCGCACTTTTGTCCCCAACAATGTCAGTAACAACAACATCGCAATGGACGAGTCATCTAATTCTTCATCAAACGCAGTTGTAACGCTTCCCCCAGTGCCGGCTAAGTCACCTAAAAGTATATTACGTAATTTTCAGCAACAATTTGCCCAACAACCGCAGTCACCTTTAAGGGAACCGGCGCATATGCGTAGTACATCGGTAAGCGAGGCCAGTGAAGACGATGCAAGTGGCAGTATAATGGATCAGCCTCTGGATCTTTGTGTGCCAAAGAAGCCGCGAGAATTGAGTTCTCCGCCACCACATGTGAAACAAACACAGATTCTGTCCAAAACCGGAAGCAGTAAGAAAGGTAAGTGCGAGCTTATAACATCCATAACTGTTTTTGTATTGTGGCTTAAAAATGACTTAAAGGTACTTACAAATTGAAGTAAATAGGAAAAGTTTATAACTTTAATTGTGAGTACATTGCAAATTGTAAAACGCGGAAGGTTAACATGAATTTTTTTTTTTAGTTGGAGAGAAATAAATACTACCAACTTAAGACCTGAACAAAGTCCAGTTCATGTTCTTTAACATTCAATGTAAAAATCTTATTTACTTTACCTTGTAGCATCATTTCGTTCAAGATTAGGTTCGGTTATATAAACGAAGTCCTTTGATCCAGTACCAACTTGTTCCCATTACTATATGAAAGGAGTAAGGGCTTTGTAGTTTGCAGCTATTTTGCTATGACCAAGCACCCAAACGAGTTGGATAATGAGTAAATTAATAATATATCTAGTGAAGATAGACACTCCTTGACTACCTTTGAGCTCAACTAAGCTGCACTGCGGAACAGCAAATCAATTGCTACCTTAATAGTACCCACTTCCGCCTTAAAAACACTACGTGAATTCGGTAGCCTAACATAAACTTAGTGTACAGCTATAATAGAAGACGTCTTCTCGAACCCGCCTTACTAGCTTCTACCCATCTGTAAAAATATTCACTGCACCTCTTCTCCAGCGACTTCCACCGTTCATATATTATATCTCTCTGTAGCAGTCTAAGGCAGAGGATGCCTTCTTTTGCTCCTTCTCATACACAATGTAAATTTTACATTTTTATACTCTTGCAACTAGTTGCTACAGAGTATTATAGTTTTTTATACTCTCGCAACAAAGTTGCTAAAGAGAGTATTATAGTTTTGTTCACATAACTGTTGTTTGTAGAGTCAGCTATAGGTTTATATATACCAAAGTGATGAGAGCGACGAGTAGAGTTGAAATCCGGATGTCTGTCTGTCCGTCTGTCCGTCCGTCCGTGCAAGCTGTAACTTGAGTAAAAATTGAGATATCATGATGAAACTTGGTACACGTATTTCTTGGCTCCATAAGAAGGCTAAGCTCGAAGATGGGCAAAATCGGCCCACTGCCACACCCACAAAATGGCGGAAACCGAAAACCTATAAAGTGTCATAACTAAGTCATAAATAAAGATATTAAAATGAAATTTGGCACAAAGAATCGCAATAGGGAGGGGCATATTTGGTCGTAATTTTTTTTGGAAAAGTTGGCGTGTCCCCGCCCCCTACTAACTTTTTTGTACATATCTCAAAAACTTCTATAGCTATGTCAACCAAACTGTATAGAGTCGTTTCTTTTAGGTATTTCCATATACAGTTCAAAAATGGAAGAAATCGGATAATAACCGCGCCCACCTCCCATACAAAGGTTATGTTGAAAATCACTTAAAGTGCGTTCACCGACTAACAAAAAACGTCAGAAACACTAAATTTTACAGAAGAAATGGCAGAGGAAAGCTCCACCCTGGCTTTTTTTTTTAAATTTTAAATGGGCGTGGCGTCGCCCACTTATGGACCAAAAACCATATCTAAGGAGCTTCTCAACCGATTTCAATGAAATTCGGTATATAATATTTTCTTAACACCCTAATATGGGTGAAATCGGTTCACAACCACGCCTGAAATCTCGATTACCACTTTATCATGCGAGAGTATAAAATGTTCGGTGACACCCGAACTTAGCCCTTCCTTACTTGCTTCACCTAATGGTTGTACGTATTACCTAAAACTAAACGAGATAGATATAGGGTTATATATAATATACAAATGATCACAGTGACAAGAAAAGTTCAAACCCGATTGACCGTCAGTCTGTCCATCCATGCAAGCTGTAACTTGAGTAAAAATTAAGATATCTTGATGAAATTTAGTATGCAAGTTCCTTAGTAAAAAAAAGAAAAAACAAGTTCGTAGTTGGCGTTATCGGATCACTGGCACGCTCACAAATCGCTATTAACCGAAAACATATAAAGTGCCATAACTAAGCACTAAATTAAAATATAAAACTGTAATTTGGCAAAGGGGATCGAAGTAGCAAGGGACACCTGTGTATAAAAACTTTTGAAAAGGTGGTCGCTGCCCCGCCCTCTAATATTTTTAATGTGCATATCTGCTTGCATATATGCCACTTTATAAAAAACATTTGTTCAAATCCAACCAAAATTGTTCAGGTCCCTAGGTACCGAATATGTGAGCGTCAGTACCTATAGTTGACTTTTCTTCGAAAATATCGATCATGTGTCAGATATGCAATAGAAATCCAGACAGAATCCTTTTCCTGCAGTAGTAATTCTGTGTACCGAAAATGGGTGGAATCGGGTTAATACTTCCCTGAGCCCCCATACGCTTATATAAAGATATATTGGAAAATATTTGAGTAATCTCAATGAAAATTTCCCTGGTATTAAGGTATTTCCCTGGCTTTGATTCCAGCAAGTTACAAGAGTAGAAAACTTTTCCTGGGTACATTTTTAGAATAACGACACTTTTTCATAATAACTTGATTATGTGCTGTGCTGTTTTTATTTAAGTGTTTGTTTGCAACGAAAAATATTTATAAATAAATTTCCGAATCCCCTGAGCATTTAAATATAACTGAGTTGTGCGCATTTACGACGTGTCTTGTTGTTATATTATATACGGATATAAATAAAACTGCAATGATTCACATCCGCTATTGGAAAGGAAAAAAAGTATTAGTATACGTGAATATCTAGACTCCTATTGCTTGTTAACTTGAAAGTTGCTGAATTTTCATTATATAATTACAGTTTTACATTTTAAACACTTTATCGCGCTTACTTCCACTTGCTTGCTTAGGTAAGTATCATATTAGCACATTCATTAATTCGCATTCAAAAGTGGGGCGCGCAAAAACTTGAAGTTGTGCGACTATTAAATGCACCACAATGGTTATCTATGAGCATTAATGCATTTGCAATTAATCACTGCATTTTAATTTTAAAATACAAAAACCTGATATAATTATTCAGGTGAATATTGAAATAAACTCTCATAAATCAATTGGAAATTGATTATTCAAACGAATGTTGATTTCTCTATGTATTTAAAAACTTTGTTAAATAAATATTTAACAAGTAAGGATGTCACCGAACATTTTATACTTTCGCATGATAAAGTGATAATCGAGATTTCAGGCGTGGTTGTGAACCGATCTCACCCATATTTGGTACATGTCATCAGGGTGTACAGAAAATATTATATACCGAATTTCATGGAAATCGGTCGAGTACTTCCTGAGATATGGTTTTAGGTCCATAAGTGGGCGACGCCACGCCCATTTTCAATTTTTAAAAAAAGCTTGAATGCAGCTTCCTTCTGGCATTAACGCACTTTTAGTGATTTTCAACATAACCTTTGTATGGGAGGTGGGCGTGGTTATTATCCGATTTCTTCTATTTTTGAACTGTATATGGAAATGCCTAAAAGAAACGACTCTGTACAGTTTCGTTGACATAGCTATAGTAAACCGTCCAAATATGCCACTCTCTAATGCGAACCTGTGTGCCAAATTTCATTTTAATATCTTTATTTATGGCTTAGTTATGACAATTTATAGGTTTTCGGTTTCCGCCATTTTGTGGGCTTGGCAGTGGGCCGATTTTGCCCATCCTCGAACTTAACCTTCTTATGGAGCCAAGAAATACGTATACCAAGTTTCAACATGATATCTCAATTTTTACTAAAGTTACAGCTTGGACGGACGGACGGACAGACGGACGGATGGACAGACAGACAACTCTACTCGTCACTCTGATCACTTTGGTATATATAAGCCTATATCTGACTCTTTTAGTTTTAGGACTTACAAACAACCGTTATGTGAACAAAACTATAATACTCTCTTTAGCAACTTTGTTGCGAGAGTATAATAA